GCAGGTGGACACTGTTAGATCAGACACGTTTAGACTTATGAGATTCAATCATTCGTTTCAGCTCTGTAGACCCATTTCAGTGCGCATTTTGAAACGGTCTAGGGAGACTCGCCAGGGTACGTGCCATTGTACCTCTGTTGAACTATAATTAGTTAATTGATAAGTCTGGTTGTTCCAAGTCCACAGATGTACACCATACACACATCCAGAGAAAGGCACCTCAGGTAATTGAGGATGACTTTTATTGTTGCTATCAAACTAGTTCTCTAGCCTAGTTCATGAGTCCAATCATACAATACCTTGTCTCTGGTTAAACATGGGTTAACATGACCTAATTTCAGCATACATATCATTCCTTTATCAGCTGTCTCACATAATTGCATGTCATATGTGAGATTTGTCTGTGGCTCAAACCATTCACCTTGTACTTTTATTTTTTTTTTAAACCAGTGTCCTTGTACAGTTATTAAAGGCAAAATGTGATATTTGCATAACTGTGGTTGCCTTCATTACATTTTGTCAATTCAGGTTTTACAACTACCCAATATGTACTAGAAATGTTTCACAGCTTCTTCCACTCGTGGTAATTCGATGTGGTCACCACCCTCTGGCAGCGCTCCTCCTGCAGCTGTGCATGGAAAAAATTGCAAGGTACACAGGAAAACAAGTTCAAAGCTTCAATTATGTTGGAGAGCGTTTCTTCTGTGCTCCCCCACATCTTTCAGCTGCCAGTTTATTTATTTTATCAGTATTTTGACCGTTTCTTCTTGGGTCATGACAACTGATGGTATCCAGACTCCAACTTGGGTAACTGCCAACGAAGCACGTCTCCTCCTTCTCCTTAATTGGCAGTAAAATCAAACTTCGTTCCTCTTTTTTTTTCTTCTTTCATCTGGTTTAGCATGTACCGTTGTTATACAATGTTACACAGTGGGGTTTCCACACAATTCTAATCTGACATCCTTTAGGTACCACTGGGATGGTTTCCCTGCTGTAGCATGCCCGACACTTGACATAGGTGTTGTGCCCTATCAGGCAGCTTTTGTGTTTCAAACATGTGAAGTTACTTTGCACTAAGATCTTGCTTGCATCTTTTCAACCAAACGTGAACGCCTGATCCTCCTCCAAGACACGTTCTGGTGTTGCTGATGAGGCGTTGTCCATCAGCGACAAGGCACGTGATGCCCAAACAGCCTGCACTCCCTTCTGACGGGCGCCTGTCACCAGCTTCTCATGTTGTCCTCTGGACGGTCCCTGGTGTTCATTTAGCAAAGACCAAGGAAACATCAAGCTGTGGAAACAAGAAAACTGCTTTCAACAAAAAGAGAGAAGAATTAGTTTTCTCTTTAATAATACTTATGAATTGGTACATTTACCCATTTTTCTTCTCCTGCCTCTGGGATATTGCAGACCCAGACCAATTTTATAACTTGAATTTGACCTGAAATCCATATCACTGGCTCTATAGTCCTCAGAACTAGTCCAGCAGATCCAGGAGTTGCTGGACAGGCAGCTCTGCTCTGTCGTCAATTTTCTAATTGGTTCTTTTTTTTCTGACAGGCAGCTCTGGAGTATCATTCAATTTAAAGGAGTGGTGCCTGGTACAATGGGTCTGTTATTCAATTGAAACACAGCCTGCAACAAATTTACTTTCCAGTTTGTCAAATCATGTTTTTCATTTTCTTAGCATTTTTTTAACAGTTCATTCATTCTCTTAATCAGCCCAGCAGCTTGTGGGTGATAAGGAAATATGATAAATCCATTCAACATGTTTTTCAGCTGACCAGTCTTTCACCTGTTTTCCAGTAAAATGGGTCCCATTATCTGTTTGTATCTGAAGGGGACCCTCATAAAATTATTTCATCATACTAAGATATTTTAAAGTAGATGTCTGATTTGCATATTTACAAGGATGAGTCACTAACACACCTGAATATGTATCTACAGCCGTACATACATATCTACACCCCTGTGACATGGCAAAGGGCCAATGAAATCCGTCTGCCAGATCTGATATGGTCCCTTTCCTCTATTTGTCCTGGCATTTACTATTGTGACCCTCTTTTCTAATGATGACATGCTTCACATTGTTGTATTGCAGTTTCATCTGTCTTGTTCTACAACTAATCAAACAATTCTTCATACATAACCACTTCATGCAAAAAGTGTCAACAATTAACTTTTATTTATTAAAAAGAAATCCTTCTTCTAGTCTTGGCCCCACTCAGAATATTTAGCTCATCAGTTTTTCCAAACTGAGGTGTTAACTTTTTCCACAGAACCCTTCTTGAAAAGAGCTGAACTTTCACTTTAAATGTGAAACATTTGCAAAACAAGATGGTGAATTATTTTTATCTCAGATATTTTTGGATACTTCGAGTTGTTTTTAGATGCTGTCAAAACTATAGCTGCTGGTAAACCATTTATAAACAACATATGTTGCACTTCCTTCAAAGCAACCAGCTTAACACATCCCTTTTAAGTGCTCTGATGACATATTTATTTCTAGACATTTCAAATCCACCCTTTAATCCAAATAATGGCTTCCAGCCCTCAGCTCTTCTGCTGACACATCATCCATCTCAGCTGCATGCACTCCTGCCTGTATTAATGCCCTCCAGAAAGCAGAACGAGTAGGTTCCTGCATGTTTTTCCGGCTGTCCTTTCTCGGCCCTCGACCCATGGATTGACTAAATGTTTTTTTTCACGGTTTTCAGCTCTGTGTTCCAATCTCCGAGTTCCAACACTCTGCTTTGAACATCAGTCCTTGAAAAAACATGTAGATGATAATCTACAACC